CTGCTCACTGGCACTTGCTATAGTTCTCCTGGGAAAAGAAGCAAGAGGGAGGAGGGGGATAAAAAAAAAAAAGACAAGCCAGTACACCACCCAGTGTTGGGCAAGCTCCACAGGGCATGGCCACGTGCCTGGAGCACACGGTCCTGCAGGCAGGCAGCCAGGGTGCCCAGGGCTCCCATGAGAGAGACCTAGGGGTGGGGGATAGATGCTGGGTTGTTTCCCACAGGCAGAATAGGAGCTGCCAACCAAGAGACGATACTGCTAGGCTAACATCAAGGAAGTAATTCATTCTAACCCAGGAGGGAAAGAAAGGTCACACCAGATGCAAGAATGATCGTTGGGCATGCTGAGGGAGAAAGAAAGAAAAAAAAAAAAAGCATGTCCTATTTTTGCAGAGGGAAAAGGACTAGATGAACACATCCCTAAATGGAGAATGGGGACAGGGAATCCAGCCATTCCTTTCCCCTGCCACGGCTCTCACAAGGGCACTTTATACTGAGCTTTCCTGTGCCGGGCACTTCACTGCATTTTGCCACGCTTTATCTTGTTTAAGCCTGATAAAACTCCATGGGGAAAAGATTATTTATAGCCTCCATTCTATTTCCACGTAAACTGGGGCTTAGAGAGGTTAAGCAGCAAACACAAAATGACCTGGCAAGCCAAGGGTGAGTCTAGGGTAAAACCTCAACCTCCAGTACCAAAACCTACATTCCTACCACCAAGCTGTCTTGCTTTCCATTCCCCTTCCCAAATGTCTCTTGCCCCAGGCAAGGGATTGCTATTCTGTCCATGTCAGCAACGTGGACATGAGAACAGATAAGTCTGCCTCTTCCAGGGCATGGTGGACAAGATAAGTAATTCTAAGTGACCACATTCAGAACAAAAGGGGCTTCTTCTTATCTTTCTTTCAGAATTCTCTTGATCCAAATGAAGTAGAAACTGCCAAGATTTTTAAGGTGGTATTTATGATACCATCACTCACAGGGCTCCCAGCCAGCGGATGGTCATACGTTGGGTAGGAAAATATATGATCTATAGGTCCTTAAAGTAATCTTTATCCACTTTCCTCTGTGGGACTTCCCATAATCCTAAAACCATCTGCCCAGAGCTCCCCACATAATCACACGAATTCCATAGCTGGGATTTCCCTCCCATGTCAGAAGTCCTACCACCAAGGACAACAAGCAGAAAGAAGACACCAACTTCCTGCTGCAAAGCTACAGCTCATGTCCCCATCCCCTTCTCTCGGTGCCACTCACTCAGAGTTCTCTCTTCCTCCGTGTGTCCACACGGAAGGGAAGATTTTTCACTTTTCTGTGCACCCAGCCTTTATTGTAGCTCAGTCCCTGGCCTCAGGACTGAAAAGGAAACCTTAATTCTCCACTGAATCTGAGCCTTAAAGTGGCAGGACACCCAAAGCTATTTAAAAAGAAAAAGTTTCAAATGCATCTTTACAAGCACAGGTTTAAAAATAACTCTGCCTTTGTCTGCTATAGAAGACTGTCCCTAAAGGGACAGCTGTCCTTAAAGCAGTCACTCAGTTCTCAGGGCAAACAGATTCTTATTTTTCCAAGTACCCAGCACACAGCCTCCAGGAGCAATGCTGCCCCCACTACCTCTGATACAATCTGATGTGCAAACGACAAAGCCTACAGAATAACTTCTACCATCCTGCTAGGCCTCAAACAGCCAGGGTTATGCATTCAGACACCCTGACGCCTCCACACCCAAGATCCACCACTCTCCCCTTCAAGAACAGGAAAACCACGGCATCATCACCACTACCACAGCTTTCATTGTGTCTCTGGAATAGATCTTCAGGAAAAATTTTGTTTCTTCAGATACTGAGTCATTCCTTGATCAGACACCTGCATGGGGGAATTGGATCAGGATGAATAGCATAGGGAAAGGGTCTGGGGAGTGGTCATGATGAACAGTTTTCAACTGTGTTCACCTTGTCATTCCAAAATACTCTCTAGCTAGATCCATCTCATCCTGCATGATCTGTCAGTCTGGCTTCACTACCTTTCACCCAGACAGGTAGTACTATTGACACAACACCATCGGGCTTAACTCAAAAGCTGCATACTGAGCAAGCAGTTGAAGGCAAATGTTTGAACAGTGCTGCACTGTCTCCTGGCTACCTTGATGACTTCGTTCTATCCCCTAAAAGCACAGGACACTCTTATTAATATACATTTTTTTTTCTTCTTGGCAACCCAATGTCTCCAAATTCCCAAAAGTTTTGCCATAGAGTATTATAGGGGGATAAAAAGCACTCATTTTTTTAATGCTAGTAGCTTAAGTTAAGTCTAGATTTTGTACCCAAGTTGAAGGTCCAGGGGACTTTTGGAGGTGACTGAAGACATTTTTACTTGCCCCAATTGCAGGGTGAGTGTCACTGGCATCTAAAAGGGAGAGTAGGTATATCCCTTAATATCCTATAATCCACAAGGCTGTGTAGCACATACTTGCCCTCAAGGGAGAGTGCCAAAGTTGAGCAATCTCAGTTGAGTCTGAAATTGCACAGTTCCCAGAATGCTCAGGGCTACATCTGCACTCTTCCATTCTGAGGACTTCTTTACCTCAAGATTCACTTGGTACTTCTATTCTGGTCACTCCTGTGAGCTATGAAGAATAGTCAAGAACTCTGTCCTTTTTCTGGTTGGCTTGAGATAACAAATCCATCAAGTGTGTCCCCTAGAATTTCATTTCTCAGTATGATCTGTATCATGAGCAACATTGTATGAATGGCAGAATGTGATCATTTTTTATCTATTGTCATTTGAAAAGGAGTTTTAATTTTTTTTCTTGTTACAACTATCACTGAATTCAAACAACAATTCAAAGAATGAAATCATTTTGAAATGTAATTCCACTACTTTTTAAAGGATATTTCCAGACCCCTTGGTATGTTTCTTCTGTAACTTAATAAGGTGATACCCACAGACACTTGGGAGCTCCTTGCTATAGGCAGCAACTCTGGCTGGGGAATCCCCATCACCTGAGCCATGGACCACTGTGGTCTCTAAGGAACTCTGAGAAATTACTTGAGCCTCAAATTCTAAGATCCCAATTTCTCACTCTCAGTAGGAATACCCTAGATAATACGCACAGGGCAAAAGCCCTGATATTCCCCTCCAGAGAAAGGCTGTGTACTGTATCTAGTGACTTTAGGAAGGTATTTCAGGTGACACTGTCATAACAGTAAAAGGTAGCAACAACCACAACCACCTGAATTAATGAAACACCCGAAGCTAGCCATCTGACCTTGGTGCATTGCCTACAAATTCCAAAAGAGCCCCATCAGATTGAGGTTATACCTTTCTATTAAAGGGGAAACTGAGGATCCAGGAAGTTATGCCATTTCTAAGGTCACTCAGATATGCAGCAGAGTGTGGGAAGTGCCAGTGTCCACTCTCTGGGACTCTGCTCTCCCTGTGATGCATTATTATATCAGGCATGGAGAGGCTATGTATTTTGCTAGCTGCCTCTGCCAGAAAAGAAATTAAAGACACTGGCACTATGCTTCCTTCCTAGTAAGCCATCTAATACGCATCAAGGGGGTAATACAGCTCTGGGGATAGCAGTGGGTTAAGATTTCATTCCAATAGAACCACGGCCTAGAGTTATCAACCAAGTGGATTTAGGAGATGGGGTAAAATATACTTGAAAGCCCAGAGATACACGAAAGGGTGAACTTGAACTCTGGGACTAACCCATAAAGGTAGGTGTGATCTTTCCTCCTTCCCCTTCTTCCCTTCCATTTAAACCCTGCTCTGTGTCTGACAGAAATTTCTGCCTGAGTCGAGGACACAGAGTTCAGCCACAGATGCTAACACAAGTCTCTCATTGTCCTTTTCTCTGTCTTCCCTGCAGCTAAGACCTTCTGTTCAGTGACCTTCCTGTCAGTTTTATCAGTCTGAATCTTTGTTCCTGGTACCTGTGCATAAAATGATCTTTTTTCCTTCTTGTGCGCTGCTGTGGTATATTAAAGTTATGGATCCCGGGCTGCCATGGCCTGTGGTTATCCCTGCTCAATTGGCAATGGGCTTTAAAGCCTCGTTCCTGCCAGGCAATGCTTCTCTGTCATTTTAGGACCTCTTTTATTATTCATTTGTGCAAATGTGTGAGCCTGTTTAAGTGGAGGGGTGTATGTGTACACGTGGGTGCATGTGTGTTTGATTTGATTTGGCTGGCTGCCCAATAATCTCAGCAATCCTCCTGTGTCCACCTCCCCAGCACTAGGATTACAAATGTGCCCCCAGGCCTGGCTTTTTCCATGGTCACTGGAGGTCAAATTCTGGTCCTCACACAAACACATACTTCTCTCCCCAGCCCTGTCATAAGCCCTGATAAAGGTGGAATAAATGTGATGAACAGATGACAGTGAAAGGAATATAATGGCAGATTGGATCATAGGAACACAAAGTGCCAAGAAGAAAGAGGCTTAGCCTCAGTGAATAGGACAGCCTGCGTGTATTTGGATTCTAGGTCTTAGCCAATGACAAGAGGAGACAGATGAAAAACCAAAACAACTGTGCCACACATCTACTGGCATTGACCTCTTTAGGCAAGAGAGGAATGGATATGGGTTAACCCAGCCTTCTGGGGTCTACCCAAATTATCCAGCAAGATCCTATTGTCTTTGTGTTTAGGGACCAGGGGAAGAGGGCAGGAGATAGGATGGATGTTTACATGAACCCATTAGGCCAGTCATTAACTCCAGTCTAAAGTTGGTTCTCCTGGGAGTTGGTTAAAATGAACACTCTGGGTTTACACCATAGACCTGAAAACACCAGCTTTCTAAGGGCAGGTCCATAGTGTCTGAATTTAACCGACTCTGCAGGTGAGAGCTGCGCATGCTCACTGAAGGAGGAAGGCTGTTCAAAACCGAAAGAGGAGAGGGCTCCTCTCTAGGAAGGCGGGCTAAGGTCTCCCACTCATGACAACCTCTCCCCTGACCCCCACATTTAAAGGGTGAACTGTCTAGAATTTACCTGGTCTGATAGGGCTCTGCATACAGTTCGGAGATGGGATGCCAGGGTGGAGGGGTGCAGAGGCCCGACTGCTGAGGTCCATGACCGACGGTGCAGTGGAGGAAGCCGGTTGCAACCCAGGAGGGTGAGGGCTGTGGTCATGCTGCGATGGGCTGGGGGGGATGCCATTTTCTGACAGAAATTCTTCCAGGTCCATGTATTCCAACTGGAAAGTATCTCCGTCATAGGGAAGGGTTTTGTCCCATAAGGTGGGTCCCAAGAAGGCCGACTGGGGGACGGTCGGGCTGTTGCTCTCATCATCCAGCTTCTTTCCTTTGTCTTTATCTTTGCTAAATGCTGAAGAGGAAGGGAAAGGGGAGCTTTGTTTAAAAAACAGAACAGAAAAGGGGTCATCCTCTCACCAGCCTTCCTGCCATCTGCTAAAAAAACTACTTCTCGGGGCCACCAAGGCCCTCTGGGTGCTGTCGTTTGTGAATCTGGAGTTTCAACATCTTCCTATTTACTTTGGAAAGAAAGCACCGTTCTGTAGAACGGGGCTACAGGCTGATTTGGAGTAAAAACAAGAGGACAGTCCTTGGTGTGTTATTTGCAGGGACAAGTCACTGGAATCTATGTTGGGAAAATAACACCCAAGATTATATACAAGTAATGTGACTTTTTTTTTAAAAGGAAACCACCAATAAACCTGGCATGATTTTATCTTTCCCAAATTGATTACAGTAAGAACTTGAGGTCGTTCAGATTTATAAACCAGATTATTCAGGCTTAATCTTAGTAAAGCAGCCCCCCCCCTGCATTTCCATAATACTAGTATCCCTTTCCATATACTACCTCAATAAACCTGCAAGACTACAACTATCCCCATTTACAAGCAAGATAAGAAGGCTCCTGTCTTAGAAGGGGCCTGTGGGACATGGGTGCTGGGTGGGGGTGGGGGTGGTTGAGGAGAAGAACTTTGAAACTCATCCATCTACTTGAAAAGCCACTGGGACATATTTAAAACGAGTAAGTAGTTTTAAACGGTGGTTTCTTCTTTCTTTTCCCCAAACATTTAAATATTACCCAATTTACAAAAAAAAAAGGTATACATTTATGCATCCCATCTGAAGCAGTGTTGCTGCAATGGTGCTGAATTATACACTAGGTTGGAAGAATGCAGCTGTTTTCTGCCTGCAAATACAGCTCCCCAGATTTGGTCTTTACCAAGCTCTCTGCATTTTGCCGATATCCAGGTGTGGGCGGAATCTAGGATTACAGAATTGCTTCTGAGTTTTTATTCCTCAGAGATATACAGCCCCTGTGCCACTCATTCTAATCTCCAAATCCTCCACAGTCTCATTAGCGAGTTGGACTTAAAACATCCACCGCAAAAGCCTACCACATCCGCTTTCTCTCAAATGCTACTTCTTA